ACATGATCTGCGAGGAAAACTGAATTCTAATCACCATAGTTTAAAACCATGTGCCTTCCACTCTTGAAGGTTGGAATGTTGATTTCTTGCTAATGCTATTGTCTTGGAATTCAAGGCATTTCAACCAACTGGGGGTAAAAGGTGGGTATTTGAGTGGCATAAAATTCAAGAACAAAAGGAGGCAGGATAATTATCTGGAGAAAATTACAAATATCCTCACAAGGAAAAATGACAAACTATGAAAGAGAAGTCTGAGATCAGTCCTAAAATAAATTACAATATGTTAAAGAATGTTGTTAAAACAACTACCTTACATTTAGTAAAAGCCCACTGTCTCCCTTGGCCCCATCTATTAAATTTTGAGGTCATCCATGTCTTTAGCTCTTCCATCCAGTTATGGAATTCCTCTTTCTCATCCTATCAGAATGTCTTGTACACAAATCTGGCCTTGGATGGATAGAGCAGGTGTGTGTTAACATGGATCTGAGGGGCTTCTGGATGTCTCAAGATTATAGGTCTGGAAGATGGGTTGGTTTTTAAGGAGCACACAATCAAATTTAACCTCTTTGAAAAGTGTGACAAATCAATTGGTTGACACCTACAGGGTTAAAGAAATTGGTTGAACAGATACTAAACCAGAGGTTTGAATGTGGGTTGGAGAAGCGAGTAGGAAGAGGGAAAGCAAGGTAGGAGCAGAGAGAGGATACTGGCAGCAAAATATCTATTTCACTGTTTTCATGAGGTCTGGTTCTTGGTACAACATCCCACCTTGGACTAGGCTCTTCAGACTCACATCCACCTATCCTTTGAAATCCACCAACCTCTCCAGACACCTCAGACTCATTGATATCCATACTTCTTTTCATCATTTCACTCCCACGGTGAATCCATTTGATTTCCCCCTGGCTCTGAAGTTGGGCCCACCCACCAGTCACTGGTTAATTAAAGTCAACATGGTGACTTGAACCTAGAGCAGCCACCTACCCCACCCTGAGACCGTCCCTCCTCTTGCCCTTAACTCACACCAAGTGCCCATAGCTTCCAGCCTCTCCAGTCTCAGGGGCCTGGCAGTGCACGGCTCTGCTTCCCCCTTGCAGTTTTGTGTCCTTGCGCTTCTTGGGCATTCTGTCTTGGCACCCCTTTCCATTTTAGCTTTGCTTACTCTTGTCCTCAGAAATAGGCCGTTGCCCAGCCCCCATGCAACATCTCTCCAAGGAAAGGAAGGAGATGTTCTTGTCTGATTCCCACTGCAAATCTGGGAGCTAATTCTGCCAAAAGAGCCATGTGGCATTGAAGCGAAAGAAGGCAAGCACGAAGAGGAAGGGCAGAGAGCAGAGTGGCTGGTCGTGCTGAAACACCCATCTTCAAGATCACAGCAGCCCTCCTGGGAGCACCTGCCCTTGACCTCAGCCCAGTCTTTTTATTAGCGTTCATAAACTGTCATTTGCTGACTTGTTTTTAATGTTCTCTAAAAGCTTCACATTTTCCAGGTTAGGATTTGTAGCCCTGGGGAGCTTTTTACTTCTCGACCTGTTTCCTATTAAGAATAGAACCTGATGAAAATGACCTTCTTGGCTCCCCACACGCTCCGCGCTCCCAGCCTCCGCGCGCCCCGCCTCTCAGCTGTTGGACACGGAAAAGTGTCCCCTCCAGCTGAGGCTAGCGGTACCTGGAGTTTTTGATTGCGGTTTTCCAGAAGAATGCTGGACAGGAGGGTAATAACTGCAAATTCTCCAAGAACGGGTTCCTAGCCTGCATGAACAAAGAACTCGCTGCTTTCACAAAGAACTAGAAGGACCCTGGTGTCCTCGTCCGCACGATCAAGAAACAATTCAACTGTGATGGGGTTTTCAGGAATTTCTTAATCTTATCTGCAGCCTGGCCATTATTTGCCAGGAGTCCTGTGACGTCTACCTGTCCCCAGAACTAAATCTGAGGAGCCCTGAGGCCTAGCCTGCAGACATCCCCTGTTTCCTTCCAGAGAGAGAGAGAGAGAGAGAGAGAGAGAGAGAGAGAGAGAGAGAGAGAGAGAGAGAGAGAGAGAAGCTGGAGCAGTTGCCTCTCCAGCTTGAAAAGTAACACAGACCACATGGGGTTGTATGAAAATGCAGATTCTGATTCAGGTCTGGGGCGAGCCCGAGATTCTTTGCCAACAAGATTCTCGGCCAGATTCTTGGCCCTCAGCTGTAGCTGCCTCTGTTGGTCAAGGAACCACAATTTGAGGAGCCAGGATCTCAATGACCAGACTTTTCAGTCACAATGAATGAACAACCGGGTTTAAGTCACATTTGTCACAAGTATGTATGCCACATGTACCTTCCTCTGGACCCGCAGGCAGAGAGCAGCTCACTGGCAAATTTCCTCATGCATCTTCTCAGAAATCTCTTCTGGGCCTGAAAGAGGAAGGAAGAGCAGAATCTTGATCCAGATCTATTTCTGTCTGCAGGAGTATTTTAGGTTGATGTTGCCTGGAGAGTTAGAACTGAACTAGCAGCTTCCTTAGGGGAGGCGTTCAGGTGTTTTAGATCTGACACCCTGAGAGACACAAAAATAATCAGTACCAGCCGAAGCTTCCCAAACACAGCACTCTTCCAAACCAGGGAAGCAGGCACACGAAATTAATATTGGTGGCAAACAAGTCAGATTTCTCATCTCCTATTGTTGATCACTCATTTCTCCCCCTTGAGATAGTTCTTTTCATTTCAGCTGTTGATGTTTTATCACAGATCTTTTCAAAGTCACGGCAGAGCCCCTAATATGTCCTACCTTTTTCTAGAAGTAAAATTAGCCGAAGGCATGGTAACTGCCCTTGCAATGCTGGCCCCACTGCACATCCAGGTGAAAGCGATGGAAATATCGGGCGATGACACAGGCGATGACCCTGAACTGGCCACGGGGCCCGCTTGTCATGATGTATTATAATCACTTGGTGTCCACATCCCTCCCGCCCCCCCCCCCCCGTCCTCCCCAGTTCTCCTTATCCATTCTCATCGCCCAGAAACATTTCTTTATCTCCTTGAACCTTAGCAGACAGCACGGTGGCTGGAAACTAACACACTCGAAGTGTGATGACGAAGTCAGGTTTTCCTCCCAAGGCGTTGCGGAAGCTGCCTGATACTGTCCGAGGCCAAAGGGTATCATGCAGCCCCAAAGTGGAACCGCCTCTCCTTTCTCTGCCTCATCTGTCACTGCTAGGAAGGTGGCTCACGGGTTTGGGCTTCCACGGTGTAGGGGCAGGAATGGCGCAGGGCAGGTTTTCTATGACCCGAGCAGACGGGGTAAGGGAGGAGAGAGGCCTGGAGCCCTCGGTGGTTTGCAGGCTTTTATTGGGATTTACCGGGTACACGGCAGGCAGGGGTGCAGGGGGCCGGGAGGCTGGCAGGCCTCCCAGCCCCCGGCAAGTCTTCACTCTGTCTGGGCTCTCCGGTGATCTCTGCTGCTCTCGTGGTTCTTGTTCGTTCTCTCTTCTCTCGGCTTCTGCTGACGTCCCTGTGACGCCGCCCCTAAAAGCCCAGGCTCAGCCCAGGTGAATCCCATCTACCTGTGCCCACACCCCACTCCAGGTGCCGCCATCAGGCATGCGTTCAGGACCGCAGGGTTCCGTCATCTGTCCTGATGGCGGGAGGGCAGAAAAGCCTGACCCTTTTCCTTACCCTACACATGGTTAGGTTCCTGTTTATCATTTAGTGACCTAGAGTTCCCTGCATAAGTTTCAGCTAATATGACATGATAGATATAGGAAATTCAAGGAGAAAAATGTCTTTAAGTTGTGAATGAGCAAAGTCCAGAAACACTGGAGTTTTCAAAATCCCAGGTGTGATTTAACTTGTTCACCTTCCCCCCTCCCTCTAGGCTGCTTTAGCTGTTTTTTTCTCCATATGCCTTAAGCAAGAAACTGAGGCGATAAGAACCCACAGACATTTAGTATATTATTTTCCACAACCACAGCTAAAGTTGGGGGAGATGCCACAGACCTGCAATGTCCAAGACACTCCCAAGTACACAGACCCCATGTAACCCAGATTCTGTCCTCATGAGCCCATCTTCTGTCTAATATACAAAGCCCCCTAAGTCTTCTACAGAGATCATTGCTGTGTTGCTGTTTAATTCATTTTCATGTGGCAATTCTGTCACATCAGTACCTGGAGTGGGTCCCCAGACAACAAGGAGCAGCCCCCTCTTTGATAAGGTCTCAGGTTTACTTAATCTGAGCTCCTGATTAACCTCATTGTTACAGCCACAAGATTGCTACCTGTCTGTAGCATTACAGTTGCTTTACTAGCGTCTTCTAACCTATTTCTCTCCAAGCTACTTCCTTTATACTAATTAACCTTGATACACTCCCCTCCCTTAGTAGACCAGCTCTTCAGATCTGCACTTGATAACCTGCATTTGGAATCCGTCTTGGACTTTTGGACCAAATGCCATTCCCCCTGTAGGGGCGTCCAGCTCTGACATCTGTTGCGAGGTCACATAACTGCTTATCTCTGGAAGTCAGAAAGCATTCCCCAACTTGGATTTGCATTCTGAGTTTGTGGGCTTCTTCAAGGAAGGAACTCTATCCCACTCCTCACTCAGCCCCCTAGAGTATATTTGCATTGTGACCCTTTGGTTTTGTTTCCCTAAATGAAATAGCTTTAAAAAAAATTCTCATGATAAAGACAACCCATGCTTAGTGCAAAATGTTCAAACAATATAGATTAGAACACCAAAGTAAATAGTTTCTTGAACTCCACCACTTGGAGATTAATAAGGTTCACAATCTTCTTCTATGCATAGATTTTTTTTCTATGCATACACACTTATCCACAATTAGAATGTACTTCTATGACCGAATAATACATTGTTATTATTTCAGCAAGTACAGATATAAAATAGGACTTATTTGCATTGACTTATTTGGATTGACTTGCAATATAAACAGAAGCTTAAGGCTATTTTATAATTCCTATACCTTCACTTTAGTTTTTTTAGCCCCCCCTTTCTTTCTCTGTACTTACCTCCTTCCTCTCTAACCAGACCCCTGGCTGTCCCTGGGGGGCAGCCTTGGCTGCTTCTGTTGCCAGGGAGAGGAAGAGAAGGAAGGAGGTGCAGGTGGTCAGGCAGCAGGAGGCATGTTCCATGCTGTCACTTCCAGGAGAATTGGCCCTCTCTACTCCTGCCAGGTGGGAGTTGAAGTGACGTCAATCTCCCTTTTTATACTGTCTCCTTATTTTTTTCTACTCCCTCCACCCATTGCCTCCTTCCTAGGCAGCAGAAGGGAGGTATCTGCAGAGAAGTATTTGCACGATCATCAAGCTCCTCGGGCGATTCTGATGAAGGGGGTGCACAACTACTCACTGAGACATGCTGCTCTACTCATTGCGGACCAGGTGCAGCTTACGGGTGAATAGGAATCACCTGGAGAGATGGTTAATAATACAAACTCCTGCACCTCATTCCCGGAGATTCTGATTCTGTGGCTCTGGGATGTGGCCCAAGACTGCATTTGTCAAAAACAAGATCCCTAAATGATCCTGACTAGCAGCCAGGTTAGGCTAGGCTCTAGTCCCCGGCTACGGCTACTCAAAATATAGTTCACTGACCAGGAGAGCTGCAGCATCCGGGAACTTGGTAGAACTGCAGGTGTGCAGGCCTCTGGCTGAGGCAGATGAGTGGCTCTACACATTCCAGCTGGGGAAGCACTTCTGTGCCTCAGGGCCATACAATGGGCGAATTCTTTTTTTGTGATGTTAAACAAGAAACATTGTGACTTAACTTGATTCCCACCTACTGATCTGTGGGTGGGATTTCACAAAATGTACCTATAACTTATAGCAACATTTTGCTAAAAGAGGTGGTAAAAGGTACACCAAGTTAAAAGAAACTCTCCCCCATTTTGAACCTTGGCTTGTCTTTGATTTCATGCATGAAATCCTTATGAAAGAAATCAAGGTTGCGTGAATATTTTAGATGAAAGGTTAAAATTGGCCCATATTTTTCTCTTTAGAGTGATATCATATCTCAGCTCTTAACAAAACTCTTGGTAAAAAGTTCAAGTGGTGCTAGCTAATGTTTGCACCAACTTATACACTGCGGATGTCCAGCCAATAACAATGGCATTTCAGGAGAACAAAAACAGCAATTCAACGTTCACTTTAATCAGTGAGCTCATAGTCCTCACCTGCTCCTCTGGAGCCATTATTCAGGGAACACTTTGGCCTTCTATGTTGTTTATGAAAGTCTCTTGACAAGAATTGTGATTCACCCAGCTTTATCCCAGAAGAGCCATCCTTTAACCATTAGCATGTTGTGCAATCAAACCATAAAGATATTGCAGAGAAATACTTCCTTTTTCCCACCTATGGAAGGTTATGGAATTATTTCTCCACTTGTTTGTTTAGATGCAGGGTAAGCTTTAGTTGTTCATGATAAACTGATCTTCAGGGTCCTATACCTTCTACGTCAACCATTTTCTCCTTTAGGAGCTGCCTTGCTCCTGTATAGTTCTCGGAACTCATACTGTCTCCTTGCCTTCTTGTTTCAAAACTCACTCCCTGCATGATTTTCTGAGTCTTTGTGACACTGCATCGACCAGCGACAGAAACCTGTCTCTAGAGCCTTCACCCAATAGGATGCCCCCATCTGGAGGGGGCAGGTGGCCTATGGCGCCAGGACAGTGGCTCGGTGATGTCATCAGTCATCAACAACTCAGGCTCCTCTGTCTTCCTGCTCTGCCCTTCGCAGTGCAGTGCTTATTTTTGGGTTGCACGAAGCTGCTGTGCCTCCAAAAATCATGTCCGCCTTTCCTTAAGAAAGACCGGAACAGGGAAAGGGCCATTGTTTTCAGAATTCTGCCCATTTTAACAAGCTTTCCAGGAAGCCCCCCTCAGTGATCTCCATTTATATCTCAGACGCCAGAGGTGGGTCACAAGACCACCCCTAGATGAAACAGAATCTGGGCACACACTGCTAACCTTAGTCCCCAAATTTGAGTTCTAGAATCAGAAAAAAAAAAGCGGGGGGAATGGATATTAGGTAGGCAGCTAGCAAAGTCTTCCACTATCACTAAATTGTAAGTAACCCATGAGAGACTTGCTTTTTAAAGGAGAATAAAACTGTAAGCTTAAGGAATAAACCTTGAATTATGGAATCGCAGGCCTCAGCTACTGTGTACGCAGTGGTTGTGTCTAGGATGAGAGATTCCTGTTGCCGCTCAGCTGTCACTATGCAGGATACGTGCCTACTCTGTCCAGCTGGAGGCTGGAACCTCCTTAAATAAGAAACCACAGACTTGCAATGTGAGACTTGGGGGTCCCTAGACTCAGCCCCAGCTCTGCTCTGCTTGCTTTGGGAGATGATGTTTCTAATCAGAGTGTCTAAAACAGAAAGATCCTCCCAAATCCCTGCTTTTATTATGGGAAGGTGCTAGAATAGTTATCATGAATCACATGGTCAGTGAATCGTTTTTTGATCTGATTGAGATTCTAATGTGATTTCATATCATCTTACTATTTTAATACTTTCTATATTATGAATATTAATTTTAGTCCATCATATTAGTTACAAATATTTTTCTCAATTCGTTGATTTACTTCTTATGTTGTATATATCTTTTTCTTTGTCATTTAAAAATCACTTTTAAAATTAAGACTTTTCACTAGATCAGACATATTTCTCTAGCTTTTATGTAATTTGACTATTGTGTTTAATTTTCTAATCTATTAAAGTTTTTTGGTGCATATAATGGTGATAGTTTAATATGATTTTCTTATATAGTTTATCAATTCCTACCCTACACCATTATGGAAAAATCCATCCTTTCCCAACTGGTTTTTAATACCTACTTGGTCATATGATAAAGTTATGCATTGCACAGTTTTATTCTTATGTTATTTCTCAGATTTACTGCTCTCTTTATAAATCTTTTACTGATGTCTCATTTTTCAATTATTTGAGATTTATGAATAACTTTAATATATAGCAGAGCAACCCCACTCTCATTTTTGTTCTAAACTTTTCTTCATTATGTTTTACCTATTTATTTTTCTAGATGAACTTCAGAAATATACTGTCAAATTAAATTAATTCTCATCAGCCTATGATTGGGACTGAATTGCCCCTATTTGGGAAGAATGTATATCATTACAAGATTATGTCTGCCCAACCAGGAGCATGTGATCCAAGTCTTTCCAAGACTTTTTTTTTTACTTAATAAAAGAATATATATACACACATATATGCATGTATGTATATATGTATAAAATCCAAATATTTCTTATTATAAGTTACTTCTATGGTACTTTTTAAAAAGGCCTTGATATTGCATCTTCATTATATTTCTAGCTGCTTATTACCTAAACTATTGATTTTTTGATAATTTCCCTGCATCCAGACACTTTTTTGAATGTGCTTATTAATTCTAATGACTATCCTATTGATTCTCTTGCCTTAACTTGCTGTGCAATCTTAATGTCTGCAAATAATAAAAAATCATTCTTTTGCCTGCCAATTATTATGCCTAATTTTTTTTGGGGGGGCCAGAAATTCCAGAACAATATTAAATGGAACTTGTCTGGTTTTTCAAGCAATAGCAGAGAGGTTTTGTAACCAGAAATTTGTTCCAGTGTTTAAAATTTCATGCTATAATATGTAATATGTAATATGCTCTGTTTTGTCTTTCCCAAGGCCAATAATATTGTTTATATATAATTTTACTAACATTTGTTATTATTTCTTTGAATATAGGGTGGATAATATTCATACATCCTCTGTGAAATAACCACACAGTCACATGAAAAGAATTATTATTTCCTTATTTTTCTCTTCTTTATTTTTCTCCTATTGATTGTTTATCAAAACGTCTCACATTTATGATATTTCTTAGGTTATTTCTAAATTTTCCATGTGTCTGTTGAACTATGGAATGTGGAAATGGTTTCCATCTTTTTTAAGTAGTGGTTGTTCTTGGGACTAATTGGAAGGATTAGTTCACAGTTCTTACTAATGATAATTTCAGTGTTTTGCTTGCTTTCTAATGAGCACTGCTCATCCTTTTATTTGTTATGCAAATTAGGACTTTAGCTGACATTAAATCACATCTGGTTCAACTGACATTTATTTCCCAGTGGCAAACACACACATTACCAATATCCCTCTCTAGATCTGCCATTCCTCTTTGACCCTACTTTTCTATTACTCCTTCCAGCAAAACTTCCCAAAGGGTTAGTTTATACTGTCTCTACTTCCTCAGCTCATATTCTCTCTTTAACCCATTTTAGTCTGGGTTAAGTCTTTAGTGCCCATTGTGCCACTGAAATGGTCCTAATCATGCAGCTTATCACCTCCACATTGCTGAACCCAATAGTTAATTCTCAGTCCTTATCTCACTCATCATTTCAACAGCATTGGAAACTGGTCATTCTGTCTATCTCAGTTGGTTAAAGTATGCCACACACTCTTCTGGATATTGTCCTATGCCCATGGCTGCTCTGTCTCAGTGTCATTTGTTGGTTCTCCTCTACTTCCTGACTTTCTTTAAAATCATGGTTGGGCTTCCCCCGTGGCGCAGCGGTTGAGCGCTGGGTTGCGAAGCTGCCAGCAGCTTCTGCAGCGCTGGTTCGATCCCCAACTGCCGGCGAGGGTCCCACATGGCACGCAGACCTCTCAGCCATGCCCGCTGCTCCCCTCAGCAGTGTACTTCATTAGTCTGCCTGCACTGCTCTCCCCTCTGGCTCTGGTGAATTCTCTCACCCTCCCGCGCTTCTGACTGTACCCAGTGCTTGTATAAATAAATAAATAAATAAATCTTAAAAAAAAATCATGGTAAATATATACAACATAAAATTGACTGCTGTGACATCATGGCAGAACAGAAAAGTTGGGATCACTTTTACATCTAAAACAACCATAAAAAATAATATTTGCTCAAAGGAAGTTTCAGAAGTTCACTGACAGAGCCCGAGGACTTTCCCATGGAGAACTCACACTAAATTCAGTGGCTTGCTACAGGGAAAGGCAGGGAAGAGGCAAAAGGCAGTGTGGTGGGCGAAGTAGGTACCCAAGCTGACAGCGTGTGCAGGGGATGTGCTACTCATGGATGACACAGGGAACCTCAGGGTGAATTTCCTTGGAGGGGCTTTTC